TCCCCCTTTTTCTGACTCTAATTTTAAAAAGAAAATTTTAGATCATTACCATACATGGAGAAGCAGCTTGAAGGAAGCAGTCTCCCCCGTGCAGAGCAGATGGAGGCCCTCACAGTGGCCTCCTTATCTTTGCTGAAAAGCAAGTTTAGAGGCTGGGGCGTAGCTCAGGGCTAGAGCTGCAGAGCTCTTGACTAATACAAGTGAGGTCCTGGGTTTGAATCCTCACAGCACCACAAAAGAAGAGGGTTTAGGGCTAATAGGTACACACTCCATCAGTAAGAGGCAGCCCTCAGAAGGAGGATGTGATGTGATTCAGTGAGCATTCTGGAATGCCTTTCTGCTTAAGCTGGGCAGCCTGGAGGGAGGGGGTGGGGTGGGGTTTACAATTTCTTCCAGTTTCTTGCCTCTTAGGTCATCAAAAAAAATAAAGCAAAATACAATGAGAGAGAGAGAGAGAGAGAGAGAGAGAGAGAGAGAGAGAGAGAGAGAGAGAGAGAGAAAATATGAAACTATCTTGAGAATACCATGGTTCTTTCTCAGCTCTTCCAGAGAGAAAAATGCAGATCCTCAGACCCTGCTTTTGGAAGCTGCCGTTCTTATTGTCAAAGGTTCTAGTCACTCTAAAAACCTCTGCCATTTTAATTCCTCCTGTTTCCCTCTTCTCCTTGCTTCCTGCCTCCCTCACTTTACCCCAGTTCTTAAAATAGTTAACCCTCAATGTAGAGTTACTTTCTTTCACAGTCATAAATATCATCTAATGGCTGTGAATGACACTCTTCAAAAGTGTGACTATCTTTATGCTAAAATTAAAAGACAATTTCATACCTTGTAAAAAAAAAATCATTGCCTCCCTGGGGCTTCATGCTTCTATCTGGGCTGTTGGTGCCGTCCCAGTGTGAAGATGGGGCCATGTCATAAGCATGTGTAAACATTTACATAACGCTTTTAATCCCCGAGTGCTTCATCCAATGTGCCTCATAGCAGTAGCCTTCATATAGAGTTTACCTCCAAAAGGCTGCAAGCACTCAGCTAATTAATAAAGTGTTTTTCTCTTTCGAAAGTTAGCAAGAGAAAAACAAAAGATTACCATGAAATAGTTTCAGCAGTCATAGTGACATCATCCTTATCTCGTTAGCCCACTGTACCACAGGGATCCAGATCTGGGGAAAGGAGAGCAATGAGGCCTTAATACTTAGAGTTCAGGGTTAATGGGAGGAAAAAAAGGGGAAGAGATTTGGCTTCGGGCCAAAGGACAAATGGATAAACATGATCCTAAGTTGCAAAATCATTTGTTTTGTTTTGTTTTTCTTAGGCAGGGCCTTATTGTAATCAAGTTTGCCCACATACTCTCTAGCCCATGTAATGCTCCTGCCTCAGCCTCCCAAGTGCAAAGATTAGAGGTATCAACCACCATGCCTGGGAAAACAGTACTTTTGAGCAGTGGGTTTTTCAAACTTTTTGAAAGGAAGTGCGTAGAATCTTTCTTTCAAACAAAACCTTGCACCAAGACCCAATGAACAGATGCAGCTAAAGTCTGTTTCAAAGTACAGAGCAGGGTCTGATTTTCCTGTGTGTCGGCCCACCCCCTGCACTCCCGCTGCACTCCTCAAGGCTAACTTGTTTACGAGGCCAGGTACCAGTGGCCCTCTCATCTTCCTGATGTAAATGGCAGCTCTGGGATGTGAAGAAATGAAGCAGCTGGCTTGCTCCCTAGCACTGTGTTTAGCAGTTATGCCTACAAGCCCACCAGGGCAACCCCAGCCTCTCACTCTTTTCCTGCCAGTGTGATGCTCAGGCAGAGCGCATCTTGTTGAGGTGGGGATGGAGTCAGGATTAGATTTAAGGCCTCTCCCTATCACTCCCAAGCTACTAGAGTCCAGAACATCATTTGAAACCCATTTCTTGGAAGCATTTATATATAAGGGAGAAAAATGATCAATTAAAGATGCATTGAACTCTAAGTGCTCTAAACATTTTGTTTTTAATTTTAAGGTTCAAGTATCTTACATGCAATATATGTTCATTTTGTATCTTTAATTGAGGCAAATTTCCTCTTTACCTTTCAGCTCACTCTTCTATTTCTGCTACACTGAACGCTCATACCAAATGTGTTGATTTTTTGTTCTGCTATTCTGCATTGGTTTTTGGAGTCCCTCTATGTGGTCCAGGCTGGCCTTGAACTCTCAGTGAGCCTCTTGGCTCAGCCCCCAAGTGCTAAGACAAAATAGATCAATCGGCTAATTCTTAGGCCATCAGAATTATACATTTCCAGTCAACTCAGTATGCTTACTGCGAACAAACAAAAACATTGCCTTGTTCAGATTTGAGCCAGCTACTTATCTGGAACACAGCAAGCTAACAATAAGCATTTTATTCTCAGAAGTAAAATGTTAGGTTCAGCCTTGAGAAGCTATATCTTCCCTCTGTGTCGCTGTGTGAGTTGCTGTGAAGTTTCATTTTTTGTCTTATTTTTCTCAGTTTTGATAAAGTGACCCCTTTACATGAAATTATTTCGTTGCTTTGTTTGCTTTCAGAACGTTTCACCGTGTAGCCCAGGCTGGCCTTGAACTCTGATTTTTCTGCTTAGCCTTCTGAATGCTGGGATTGCAGGCATGTGCCATCAGACCTGGCTGCTACTGCTTTGTTTTTTTGGTGTGTTTGTTTGTTTGCAGATAAGGCCAAATTAGTGACTCTGAAAGACAAAACCGTCCGTTCTTCGTACAACTAACGTCTCTGTGGATTCTTCATATAACTAACATCTATCTCTGTGGTGTCCTTTCCTCTTCCTCAGTTTCTTCAGATAAAACGTAAAAATGAAACAACCCAAATTCTAAGCAAAAAAGGAAATCCACTCTTTCCATCTCCTACATCCAAACAAGCAAAGCCCTACCAGTCTGTGGCTTCAGGATGATAGTTATGTCATCCTGAAGCAGACAGACATGCAGAGTCCCTGTCAGGAGACAGCCAGAGTCCAGGAATCTGTACTGTGCACCAGGCCTCTGCTGAGAACAACCTGGGAAATGCTAATCCTGGGGTCAATGTCAGCCAGCAAGCAGAGCAATTCCTGGTCCTGTGGCACCCTGGGTGGGTTTCCTATGGCTGAACATGTATCACTGGAGCCAAAGGCAGAACATTGGAAACTCATTAAACATGTCAGAGGAGTAGGAAACACCTGATGCATGAGGCAGCCAAATGAAGAGAAAGCATTTACCACCAACTGTAAGTTAAACTAGCTACCTAACAGGGGCTCAGGAAGACAGATATGAGATCTCAGCATGTCTCTGTCTTGTCAATGCGTAGGTTTCTAGTAGTCAAGAAATAATTTAGTGTGTGTGTGTGTGTGTGTGTGTGTGTGTGTGTGTGTGTGTGTGTGTGTGTACTTGATACACTATGGGAGTGCAGAGGTCAGAGAACAATTTCCAATGTTTGTTTCAGGCACTTCCTCCTGTTGTTTGAGACAAAGATTCAGTGGCCTGGAAGGTTGCCAAAGCAGACTAGGTTAACCAGCCCAGGAGCTTCTGCCTTCCATCTTGCATTTGCTTGTATTACAGGCATGTGTTGTCAGGCTTGGGGATTCCTGTGGGTTCTGGGGTTGGGTGTCTGAACTTCACTTTTCATGCTTATGGGTCAGGTGTTTTATCTAGTGAACCATCTTCCTGGCCCCCAAATTTCTCTTTAAATGTGCTTTGTACAGAAAGAAATACACATTTTTATTTCTTTTTGTTTTTAACCGTGTGTGTGTGTGTGTGTGTGTGTGTGTGTGTGTGTGTGTGTGTGTGTGTGTGTGTGTCTTATATGCATGGTGCATGCCTGTGAGTGTGTATATGTGTGCACCTGTGTGGTTCAAGTAGAGGCCAGAGAGGACCATCTAGTGTCGTTCTTTACTGCTTTCCACACTATGGCCTTGGTAGAGGGTCTCTCACTGCATCAGGAGCTATCCAGTTTAGATAGGCTGGCCAGTGAGTTCTCTGAGGATGCCCTGGTCTCTGCCCACAGAACCAGGGCTATAGGCATGTACAGGCTTTACATGGGTGACATGGGTGACATAGACTTGAACTCAGGTCCTCATGCTTGCACCCCACCACTCCCCTAACCCTGCTTTTATTTTATTTTATTTTTTATTTTTATTTTAAAAGTCTTTTTTCATGTCTAATAAAGTATAGTTTCTTCCTAGGAACCAGATTTTTCTTAAAGTTTTCTTGTTTTTGTTTTAGAAACTCTTGCTTCTCTCCTACTCATTTCCTGTTCGGCTCCTTCCTGACAGAGACTCTGCAGGTCTGTGCATCCTCGTCTTCCCTTCCTTCATAGCTGCCAGATCTCACCTTCTCCTCAAATGGCTGAGCGCCTTCTCTGACGGATGTGGAATGACTAACTGGAAATGTGTTCTGCTGCTGGAAGAGAAGACTTCCTGGGCTTGAGGATGTGTGAAAGTTTTTAAGATGACAGATGGAAGGAGCTGAGAAACTTGCATGCTTGTTCTTGACCCTGGAAAGTCCTAGGAAGCTCTACAGCTTTTTATGGCACACCAATCCTGGAACCCACAGCTGGAAACCCGGTACAGACCAGGGTAGCCAGAGAGAATACAGTGTGCTTGGCTTGTGCTATATTTCAGAGAAACAGCAAATCATATTTTAGTGTGACTGTGTCCCTGAATACTGTGTAAGACATAACTATACTAAAAATTATATAATATTTAACCATATATAATTAATAATATAGTATATAATATTAATTAAATATAATAAGTATTTTATATATATTACAACTTTGATTGTGGGCCCTGGGTTTTCATTTGTGGGACCTGGCAATCACATGCCAGACTAATTTTCAAATAAAAATACTAGCATCACTGTCAAGGTTAGCTGTTATTTATGGAGGTCTGTAATGGTTCTCTTGATGTTATTGATAAGGCATCAAAATGTATTTAATTATTTTTAATTATTTTCTTGAAGCTTCTATTGTATTAGAACACATTGTATTACAAGTCACACACGGAAGCCCTACTCCAGGTTGCTTTTGACCAAAGCCGTAATTTAAAAACAAACAACAATAAGAAAAAAGAGTCAGTAAACAGGGCTGCTGGATTTTTTTTTTTTTGCTTTCACTTCAAGCTCCTTATGTCAGAAGCCAGCACAGGAAGGGTTAACCATTAATCTTCAGTTACATAAAACGTGCATTGTAGATATCTTCACTTAATGGTGTCTATGGAGACAAACTTCCCAAGACAGCGTTTTTTTCTTCTTTTAGATAAAGGAATGCAGCTTTAATGGAATTTCAAGTGCTTTCGTGTTTTACTTGCAACATCTGATGCTATGAAAAGCCCAGGAACAAAGGTACGTGTTTTGGTGCTTCGTCAACCAAGGAAGAACCGCTATTCCAGGACACTATAAACTAAAAAAACAAAGAACCAACCCCGAAAGATCTCTGAACCTACAGCTTCAAAACCTGCTAAGAATAGAGGAAGGTCCCTGTACAATAATTCAGGGTCCACATATTTATTGGTATGTTTTCCACTGGGCTTGGGCCCTCCTTTAAAGATTGGGAAGGAATGCTGTTTCTCATTTGGAATCTTGTTCAGCTGCACGGGAGAGCAAAGTGGAGTGGAGTCAGGAGGGGAAAGTTGGGTCTGTGCCAGACATATTTGAAAAGTGAGAAAGAAGGGAGACGAGGGGACTCACACCCAGCCGGCTGCTTTGCATGCCATTCAGAGGAATCAGAGGCCAAATTCAGTCCATCCAGGAGGCAAAAAACATTAGAGCTTTGGTTAACTCTTGAGCTGCCAGGGCAGATGCTGTGTGCTTCTAATTCCCAGCCTGTCTTTGTTAACACTCATGGTTTACAGCAACAGGCACAAAGAGACATTCAAAAGAGAGATGTATTGTTCGGTCTCTGTGCCACAGGCTAGGGAGTAAAGCCTGAATATTGATCTCCCAATCTTTTCCTTTTGTTTTGCTTTGCGTTAAACGGTGGCATTAGGGGCTTCTGGGTTGTGTGTTTAAAGACTCAACTCTTTGCCAGTTTAAAGAGGGAAATCTGAGTTTCAGTGGAAAGCCAAACACACTTGCCAAGTTGCCTGTCAACGACACAATGCCAATTTCTGTTCCAGGACTGCCTCGCCTGGAATACTGCCCCGGGATCACTGAGAGGAAGAGGCAAGCCTTCCCACTGATGCCACAGAGGAAAATGGAGTTAAAGTGTGCAACATGTCAGGCCAGAGTCAGAGATCTAAATAACCGCTCACCTGTTCATTTCCTGTATTAACCACAGTAAACAAACTATAGATTGACTGTATAGAGTATTTATTTAGCAATCAAAGGATGTTGTAGCATCCAGACATTATCAGGTTTGTCTATCACACGAGGCAGGGCATCCCACTGTGATAAAGGATAACCTTTTACCTTTTCCTTCTCCTCTACTTCGTAAAAGTTCCAGTACGTGGCAGATCAATAATTTTGTAAAGTAAAATATAACCGAATTACTAAACAAAAAAGCAAATTTGTACAAAAGTGCAATCCAACCTTCAAGAAGAAAATTAGATTAATCGTCATGAAACTACTGTGCCAAATGCATTTACAAGTCCCTCACTTCTCGTTGCTGTGAAATATGACAACCAATCCGTAGATACCATTGGTATGTTTTCCACTCTGTAAAGAGCCCTGGTAAGTCATGTTGAGCAGCAAGGATCCATGGGTAGAGCTGCCTACCGAGGAGGTGTAGGAGCTGCATTGAACCTGTCTAAATCTGTAGGGCTGACTCTACCTTCACACCGGTTTTTCAGATGCAAGTGTAGCATAGAGACTGTAAGTGATGCTCCTGGTTAATGCTCAGTACAGGTGAACCTGACTCCAGGCAGCTGCTTTTCCACTAGAAAAGGACATCTTTTGCCAACAGTCAGGAAGACTGGTGAGGATGTGCTAGAGTCATAAATGCAATTCAAGTGGACTATTTATAGAAAGAGCAATGTGATTTTAAACAAATCCTTTCTGTGAATATAGGTAATTCACAGACCAAGCCAGAAGGAAGAAGCCAGAAGTTTGCTATTAGAGCAAGGAAGCTCCCTGTTCATCTGCTCCCTGACTAAAGCACCACATGACTTGGTGCTCTGAGCCATGTAGCCAGTGCAACATAATGGCCACCTGTCCACGATAATATTGTGGCTTAAATACAACAGTCCTGAATAGGCTCTTGTTTTTATATACTTGATCTCCAGCTAGTGGTATTGTCTGGGGAGGCTCTGGAACCTAGGAGATAGAATCTTGCTGGAGGAAGTATGTCACTGGGACCCAGCTCTGTGGGTGTATAACCTGAACTCACTTCATATTGAAAACAAAACTACTATCAGGCAGTGTGAATAGTTAACTACAGAAGTAAAATCACAGAACACTGGAGAAAAACATAGGAGTGGTAATTTCTAACTCTGCTTTCAAGTAAAAGCAATTACAAAGGGAATTCTTAAATAAAAAGTAATTATTAAAGACACAAAGAGGGAGAATCAGTTGTCTTTAAGAGTGTGACCCCTGTAGGTCAGCCACTCTCCAGGATAGGCCCCACACCCAAGAGTATTTGAACAGTAAAAATTGGACTTGATGGGGTTTGAGAGAGGAAAAGGAAGACAGACGGAGGGTGGGGTGGGGGTGGGTTAGTAGTTAAGTACAGGTAAATATGGGAGGAGCTGTGAGTGGTATGAATGAGATCAAATACATTGTATGAAATTCTCAAAGCATTAATGAGAATATTATTTGTGGAAAAAAGGAAACTTTATATATTTTGAGTACATAAAAATCCATTTATTGAAATTATATGTGCCATTAAAATATGAAAAATTAATTAAGGTACAAATATGCATCTATGAAAGAATAATACAGATATGGTAATGGGAAAGTATAAGTAAAAAGCAAACCAGAAAAAAGTATGTAAAAAAGAAGGACTTCAGGTTGAAATAGCATAGAAAGGGAAGGCTCAAAGAAACGTAAATTAAAATAAACAAGGCACAACATTTGGCTCACTGAACTGGGAAACCCCTCAAAGAGAACATATGGGATAGGGAAAGTGATACAAAGAAATGATGCCATTTAGAGGTCAATGCTGAGTTGTCCTTGTCCTCAGGGAAGCCATTTGTTCTAAAAATCTTATAAAACATATCCTTTTGAAATATTTGTGCAGTAAGACCTTCACAGAACTGCAGGGTATATTGGTATATATTGAAGAGTTATCAAGGAAGCCTAAACATCCATCAAGATACATTACATCAATACCCATGTTTATATGCACAATGTTGTATCTATGAAATGGGATAGTGTGACACCACTAAAAAGATATTTTGATGGAATAATATTGAAAGACTTTAAAAATGAAATAAACAATGAAGGAAGGGAATTAGATGTTACAGACAATGTGGTAACAGTATTTTTATCTTGCTACCAAGATTTTTAAGTATAAGTGCCCCAGAAGTACCATAGTGGAAGAAGGGGAGTGCTCACTAAAATACATCAGTTTTCCATCTTTTTTTTTTTTTCTGGAAAGAGATTTATTGGTCCAGCACTCTCTTTTATAGCAGTCTTCTCTCTCCTCTTCACCTACATTTTCTTCAACTTGTACTGAAGAGCAGGCACAGGGAAATGTCTCTCTAATGGGAGCTAGCTAGCATGGCAGCAGTGTGCTGGCTGAAGTGTTTCATTGTGTAAACTCCTAGATCATCCTATAACCACGCAGATAGGTGTGGCTTTTCCAATGGAAAAGAAAGTTTTTCGGGTGTAAGCTAGCTCTGCCATGCCATCTCTTCCTCCTCGTAGGCTCTCATGGTCACCTTACATAAAGGGACCAAAACTGAGAAAGGAATGCAGTCACTGAGAACTGTGCTCTAGCAATCTAGGAAGAAAAAGAATGTAACGGGCTCAGCTGATTGAGAGCAACGATAAAAACAACTGGCAGAAACCACAAAGCCCTCTCTTTATGTGCAGACAAAGAATGCTTTTCACAAAGCTCAAAATCCATTCATTACAGAATCCCTGCTGGGCACTGCACTCATCTTGACTCCCCTCCCCCTCCAATGGCCTCATGAGGCTTCCTGGGAAGTGAACTAGCTTGACATCTTTCTCTTGATAATATGTAATTGTTCTTTATGGGAAGTGGGAAAACAGAGGAGAAATTGGATTTTTACCTTTAGCTTTTGTTTTTCTATTATTTTTTAAAAAAATTTACTTATTTTTATTTTATGTGTACAAGTATTTTATCTGTTTGTGCACCATGTGCATGCATTGCCTAAGGATGCCAGAAGAGGGCATCAGGTCTGGAATGAGAGTTACAGATGGTTGCAAACCATTGTGTAGGTGCTGAGAACCGAGCCTGCAAGAAGAGCAAATGCTGAGGCATCTCTCCAGTCTCTCTGCTTTCTTTTACTGTAAAGTGTGCTCTGTTTTTAAAGGGTTGGGTTGTAGCATAGGTGGTAGAGTGCTTACCTAGCATGCATGAAGTTCTTGGTTCAATCCCTAGCTCCACATAGACCTGTAAAGGCAGTGCACACCTGAGAGGTGTGGGAAGCAAGAGGGGCAGATGCTCATGGCCACCCTGGGCTTCAAGAAAGATCATATCTCAAAACAACAACAACTAATAAAATAAAAAGACAAAATGAAAATCAATTCGTTACTGTAGCATAACAAAAATCCCCTATACCTTTGCTATTAGGCTGGCATTATGGACTAGAAAGTATTATACTTTGTTTTTCAGAGAAAGGCTTGATCTAATCTTTAAAATAAGATTTTTTTTTCTGGTGGTGTGTGTGTGTGTGTGTGTGTGTGTGTGTGTGTGTGTGTGTGTGAGATATCAGACCTTAAGGGCTTTCTTCCTGCTGAAGTACTGAAAAGTGAGAATTCTGATCTCTTGCTGACAATGTTTAAATGAATATGCCAGTTTATAATTAGAAATGCAGGGAGGGAGGACTTTTTATAACTGAATATTTAACACGTATTAAAGTTATCACAAATCCACACAGTTCTTATCCCATCTAATCTGTGCTTTCTCTCTACAAGGTTTATTCACTTGTAAATTGGAAATTCTTTTCGGAAATGTTGAGTTCACTATGAAGGCAAGTATTTGGCCAATTCCTCTATGGCTCAGTGCTTTGCTTTGTGTGTGTCTGTGTTTCTGTATTTCTTTGTTTTAATAACATCATTCTAGCTGCGGGTGGTAAGCATACCTGTAATCCTTGCAGTGGGAAAGCTAGAGCAGGAATGGGACAGTCCTAGGTCAGCCTGTATTGCATAGTGACACCCTGTCACAAAACAACAGACAAAAGAAATCCCTACTCCTTAATTCTTGCAGGCGAATAATAATTGCAAAGAGTAGGCTGCAAATACTTCCTTCAGAGGCAAGAGGGATTGTTTACATCCACTATGCTTTGGTTTTCTTTTTTCACTACGCTTAACTCTAGATACATTTTGCTCTTCCACCTCCCAAGGGAGATGGCAGACCACCTGGTCACTATGGCAACATGTTTCCCTGCTTCCCCATCCTTCTCTCTACTTCTCTGGACTTCCTGCAAATAACAAGAAGCCATTTGTTTTCTGTTAATGTGACTTCCACTCTTTGAGTGGAATCACAGCATTCAGAAAGCTTGTACTAGCGGTGGGGAGACAGCTCACTGACGTGCTTGCCTGGCAAGCGTGAGGACCTAAGTTCAATTTCCAAAAACTGCCTAAAAATGAAAAAAAAAAAAAAAACAAAAAAACAGAACAAACAAACGAACGAACAAGCAAAACTCCCAAATGGACACAGTGGTATGTGCTCATAATCCCGGTGCTGAGCAGGCAGAGGAAGGTAGATAACCTGGGATCACTGCCAGTCATCTTAGCCTTCTTGGCAAGTTCCAGGCTAGTGTGGGACTCTGTTTCAAAGGCAAAGATAGTTGGATGGCACCTGAGAAACGATGCTCAAGATTGTCCTCCACAAGGACTCACCTGCACATGCATCTACCCACAGAAGCACACACACAGTAACTTCATTTGGAAAAAAAAATTAGTCCTTTATTAGAATTTTTCTTCAGAGAGATCACAACTGAAGCTTTCTTACCATGCAGACCTAATTTATAAGAAGCTGCCTGTCATGGAGGCTTAGGTCATCCTTGTTGAGTCCATTACATACTTCCAACTAGAAATCTCTAGGTTTGAAGGAATCTCTGTTAATGCTGGCATTCTGATGGTCCTAGGTGTTTATATATTGTCGTTTTAATGTTCACATAAACATTATGGAGTGTGAGGATCTATCATGGTCCTGGTTTCAACAATGCCAA